ATATATATATATAAACTTGCTAAGTAGTATTTCGAGCCAAAACGAGCCGAACACGAACGAACGCATCTTAGTTCGTGTTCGGCTCGTTAACTTATCGAACGAAATTAACGAGCCGAACAAGAGCTGCTCGCGAACAACGAGCCGTTTTTGCAGCCCTAATTCAGATAGAGCCATGGAAATCAACCATGAATATAGGAAAGAGCAAAATTTTTGTGCAAGTTTGATCATATGGACTGTCTGACAATAAAAAACAGCTATAAAGAATAGTTTGTGCATTTATTTGTGACATAATAGTTTTGGGTGAATTTTCTCACTGTGAGGTTACGAGTACATATTATCATTTGGGTTCACATTTATCGAAAAATAAGTTTTATAAACAATAGTTAATTAAATGTATATAAATTAAAAGATCATGAAGTTATAGATTTTCATGTAACAAAAATTTTATTGGAAAAGGTTTTAATGAAGCTTTCATAATGTTTACATTTATTACATTTATGGTTATATGGAATAGTGTTATAAAAAGGACTCTCTCATGGCTGGTAATTCCTATTAAACAGTTTGGCTGAAATATCACCTTGTTTACAGCTTGGCTGAAATATCCGCCGGTTAAATCAATAGAAAAAAAAAAAATTGGCTGATATTTTGTTGTTGGTTTGTGTATCGATACTTGCAGCAGAAATTCTGAGCCCCCTCGTAACGGTGGGAACGAGCTCTTGACCTAAGGGGACTTATAGTGACCCCGCCACCAACAGATCAAGACTTGAGACATATATATCCATCCACACACATATATATATAATCTCGCAGCTAGCTCAGAAGCCAAAGACAAATTAGTTGTTTTATATATATAATGAAACTCGTAACCTCACATTGTGTGTTTATACACACACACACACACACACACACACACACACACACACACACACACACACACACACACACACACACACACACACACACACACACACACACACACACACACACACACACACACACACGCACGCACACGCACGCACACGCACACGCACACACACAATGTTATTTCTACACTTATAATGATGTTATTTCTCCATTCATAATGAAATTACAAAACATGCCAACAACGCTGAGCACACCTAACAGTTGTGTAGTATCAAGCTATGGCAACATAAAAAAGATAATCACTTGAAATATAATCAGGTATCGACACAATAAAAGATACACCCAAAAACTTTATAGTACATGTTTCCAAAAAAATAGCATTACTACATAGAATTATCAAATGAAAATAGAAATAGTTGTTTTAAAAAGAAATCCTCCTCTGTTTCCTCATTCACTCCCCTGATGTATGATACATCTCATCTACTCCATGTTTGCTTCCATATCAACAAGTTGAGCTTCTATCTTAGCAGACATTCAAATTTTGATGTCTTGAGCAAAGGCTGTGGCACTTCTATTAACTAGATCATCAATTGAAGTGGAGTTTTCAGTAGAGAAACAATATCCTACATCGTACGCTAGACCCTACAATCTTAAGCCGTATATGGTTCCTTTTTTCTTTCCTCCAGTGACTTCCCTTTAAATGTTGATCTTTGAATGCTCGGAATGGCTACTCAAAATTTGATCTCCTATTGAAATTTGGCTTCGAACATCCTTCAAGCTCAGGTGTTCATCCTCGAATAAATTGAATTATGATCAAAGACAAAGTACAATTACAAATGAGTTAAAAAAAATAAAAATAAATATTTTTCTTACATACTTGGTGTGGACTCACCATTGGTTTACTTGATGTTATTGTGTTCTATTATGAAACACGAGTGTAGTGGACCTTCTTCCAAGCAAAAAATTAATGTTAAAATATTTATGAGTTAGTGAGGAATACTTACACATTTTGTTAATATACAACAAGTACACCTTATTGGTCTCTTCTTATACTCGGTATATAAAACTGAATATCTAACATGTGGAAAGCTACCCATGCCCCCATAATATGATGCCCAATTTTGCATGGTTTGGTCATTTTGACAACATAATCAAAGGATGCATTGATTCTACATGTCTTAACCAAAAGGACCTTCGCCCCTACTTGCATAAGTCGGTAAACAAATCATGCAAGTGAGTAGTGCCATTAATTTCATATTTCTTTATGATTTGTTGATTATGCTTTGATAACCACCAATTTTTTTATCACAAAACATATCAGTTAGATGAATTAGTTGTAGAATACCATGAATTGTTTTAAGTTAATATTGTTTAGTTATTACCTCAAAATCTTTGAAACATAAGTTACACACTTCTATTGAAATCTTTTTCCAAGATAAATGTGGTGCATCATATTTGCTCTTAAATATATCATTGATCTTTTGAATAAAAATTCTAAAATGATAAACAGTAAAAAAAACTAGTAATTATTTCTTCAAATAAAAAAATGTAAGTTAAGGGGGAATATTACTTATGTATCTCCCACCATGCTTGATGTAAATGTGTCACATAATATCTTGTGCATCAACAACAGTAAGAGTGGAAGGACCTAGCTGACTTGGTGGCATGGTGTTGGTGTTGTATGATGGACCCGATAAGAGTTTAATGGTGTAGTCTTGGTAGGAGATGCAGAGTAGTAGGATGGTGACTATGCGGACAGAGTAGTATGTTGTACTAATAAGGATGTAGAGTTCATATTGGTGATAGTAACACTAATGCTTGTATGGTAGCTAAGATAAGAATTAGTTTTCTTCTTCCTCTTGCAAATGTTAATGATCTATCTTTGATGGAAGTCAATACCTCTGCTTGATGACACACACACACACACACACACACACACACACACACACACACACACACACACACATATATATATATATATATATATACATACATTCTAATCTACTAAATTTTTAAAATAGGGTACATAATTAAATAAATGATGTTTAAAAATAAAAGAAAAAAATTTTAATTATGTACTCCTATGCTTTATTGATTCCTTGGATGACAAACTAAATGTTGAATTTAAAATTTCATTATTAATATCATCTTTGGACTTATCAGTTAATGACTAGCTTCCTCATAATCACCAATAGCATTATACCTTTATCATAAGCTCAAAATCACTATAAATAATTCTATACTCTAATATTTCTTCTTCTTGATGAGCAAATTTAATAAAATTTGAACCCTAATCTTTGCTCAAAGTTTTGTCTTAATCACATATACACTATTTTTTTTTATTTTTTTAGCAGTTTCATGATATCTAAGATAATAAGCTCCATTAGCTTGAAATATTAGGCCGAAGAGATCAAATTTAGTATAAGAAGAAAGATTAGGTGTATATTAATGTATTTTTTCTAGGAAAGTTAAGAAGAAAGACCTTGGTTTCTTCATTTTTCTTGATTTCCTTAACAGTATTAATAGGCATCATTTTTTTAGCATTATTTTCTTGATATATGATTATTAGAACTACTTTTGATGTATATTGGTAGCCTCATCAACAATAATTTATGCATGCATTCTATAAATAAGGTAAAAAAATAAAGCAATTATTCTTCAATATTAATGAGAAGAAAAAAGTTTAAGATGAATACCTTTAAGAAAAACATCTCATTTAACCTTTCAAAATTTCTCTCTTATTTTGATTGATACTTAGAAGATCAAATTTATATTTCATGATTCTCTAACAAGCAATGAATTTTCCTTCTAGAGATAAAAGAAAAATAAATATGATCTTGTCCCTTGAAGTTGTAGGAAACCTAACAAAGGAGTGTATCCACGGTCTTGAATGATATCCTAATGGGTATCAATAAGGTGAGGCCAAGTCAAGTCCACCAACTTAATTGAAGAGTTTTGAGTTAGTTGAGCATCAAAAGAAGGGTGATTTAAACTAAAAATTTCAAGAATTTTTATATTATATTATATCAAAAGAGAAACATCAGCATGAAACTTACAAAAGCTTGAATGAACCTTAATTTGATCAACCTTGTACTATTAATTTTATGGATGTTTCTTCATCATATTATGATGCTATTCTTTCTATTAGCCAAACTTTTTCAAAAATTCAATAATTGGGCTGAACTTTTCTCCAACCTATGCATGTGATCCTTCAATGATAGTTCTTTAATGCCTACTATTGTATGTTTACAACATCCTTAGTTGTACGATTCATTCTATAATATATGAATGTTAGAACGAGAAGCCTCTATCATAAAAACACAACTATCTGTCATTGAACTAATATTGATACAATATTACGAGATTTATTATAATAGAGGTCACGAACATACTGTATTATAAACTTCATAATGATAGAGCGGGGTCATATGTTCTAACTTTACATATGATATCAAGTCGACTGTTGGCCACTATCATTAACATTAACTAATTTAATTTACAACATATTTATATTTTTTAAAATCAAATAAAAAATACAAAATTATACTTTAATTTTACACAAATCAAATAACATTAAAATATTCTGATATTATTTAGCACTCCATTCCCATTTGACTCCACAAAGTCATGACCATGTGAGGTGAACACGGGCTCCGCCTTGTGCTATCAACAGGGAACAACTCGTGTGTGTGTGTAGGCTCCATCCCTTTATAAAAGAACCATAAACAAAACAATGTCACCAAGCGGATCAGAGCACGATGCCTGCCACCAATGCGAGAAAAAAAAGCGGATCGGGATCGCTTTTCTCATTCTCTTGCAGATGCCGAGATGCGAAATCAGTGTCGATTTCTGCATCAACTTCCGGTTCATCCGAGATATCACCAGATATTTTGCGACCGCCGAGGTATGTATCTTCTTCCTCCGGCGACACGCGGACCTCCGTCTCGTTGTCCTTGGCTGAAAGGATGCGGGTTCATGACGACGGCAGCAAGCACACCACAAGCTTACGCGCCCTGCTTTGGGAGCTCAAAGAACTGGAGCAGAGCGTGAAGGCGTGGGGTGGTGGTCGCCAGATGCCGGCTGAGACGGGAGAGGAGGAACTATGGAAGTATCGGCGGCACAGGAGGAGCAGTATGGGGAAAGTAGAGGATAGTGTCGCGATCGTGAAGGAGACGGAGAACCCTTTACGAGATTTCAGGATTTCGATGCTGCAGATGATCGTGGAGAAGGAGATCGTCGGTATGGTAGAGCTCCGTGAGCTTCTCCAGCGATTTCTATCCGTCAATTCGCCGAGACACCACGATGTAATCCTCCTCGCTTTCTCCGAGATCTGGGCGGAGGTTTTCTCCGATCTTCCCACCGTCTCTAAATCGACCTAGAATGTTAACTGTGGTTGATCTGCACATTTGTTCTCTGTTGATTTTTTAAGCTAAATATATTTAGTTTTATTTTTAAAATGACTAATTATTTACAAATTTTGTGCTCAGATTGACTTGATTATTTATATCAGAATTTTAAAATTTTGAGAGAAATGCAAGACTCTTAAATTCATTAAATATTGTGTATGATTTAATTTAAAATCATAATAACATTGTGTTTTAAACTTTTATAATTTTATATAACAATATGTAAGCTAAATTTTGTCAGGCCAAGCAGCCTCAAATTTTAATTACTTCACTATGACTAGTAAAATAAAGTCAAATTTTATTATAACATCTAAAATGTGTATTTTTATAAAATTAATTTTTATAATTTTTTTTAATTAAATAGATCATTTATAAATATAATGTTGTAAATTTGTGTTGTGTATCTCAGACCTACTGGTATGATGTCAGTTGTAAGGCCCCTCAAGTCCGGAGTTCGAATATACTCCTGACGAGTAATGCCTTAAGGAGGTTGGTCCTCGAATGGGTTACGCATATTAGAGATGGCCGGGCGCTCATGTAATAGCCTCTGCCTATCCTTCGTTTATATATATATAACTTAAATTTAATGTTTTATATATAAATAAACAAGTGATTTAACAGTTTTGTTATTGATGTTGTGATCATCCTTGCCTCACTGATCCCGTAGACTGGTACTGTCTTCGCCAGGCCCTTTATTTAATAGGAAAGCTGCTTCGCTATGGCTACAATTGTCGTGAAGCCGTCGCAGTACACATCCTTCGTCACCGCAACGTCGTCGTGGTCTTCGTCCTGTCATTATCGTTGGAATAAAACTTTGCAAATTGGAACGAATTCAGATTTTTAATGATTAGAGTTAATGTCTTTTCATCAGGAAATTTTAATTTAATTTCAAATGTTTTATTTGTGCTCTTTTCAATATGAACAGATCACGTTTAGTACTAGTTTGAGATTTTATTGTACAGATATTCATATTTCATTGATGAATTTTTATTATTTGATTAGTTTGAGGGATAAATGGGTTTCAGATCTGGCAAGTTTATAGACATATAGAGAGCGCGATCATGTAATTCTAATATTGTAAAGGCACTTAAATAAATGTCTCTAAAACATCATGTGATCAAAAAATTTGTTCTTGGATGTCTAATGGAGCAGTCTAGGATTGGCTAAATTTATAAAATAATATTAAAAAAATTTGACATTTAAAAAAAATTAAAAAATTTGTGGTCATCATTTGTGTGGCCACTTGCTAAAAAAAATTCAGGAGAATTTACAAAAATGTTGTTTAAAAAAAAATTTCAAAAAGTTTTTTTTTCGCCGTTTGAAAATGACGGGGCGGTAGCATTTTAAAACAAATTAGACGAAACGCGGGCTGCGGGTTTGACCTTGCGGCTTGCATTTCTTATTAACTTATCAAAGAGTTTCTACTACCCTACCCCCTCCCTCCCCTCTCTCGGGTTCGAGCTTCTTCTCCCTCGACTCTCGCAGTCCCTCGCAAAGCCCTAGAGGTAAGATCTCTGCTCCCTTCCTCGTCTCCGACCTGTGGTTCTATTAGCAAGGATTTTTCTGTTATGTTGGTGGTTACTTTACTCTCTCTATACCCTCTGTTCTTCATTTTTGCTTAGTTTATTTGCTCTCCCTCAGTCCACGGTATTCTCTACCACTAATCTCTATCTTTATGATTTTGCGATGATTTTTGGAGCTCTATTCGGTCATTGATTTTTGTATGATTGTTCACTGTTGTTGGATTTTGCAATTTATGCAATTTTTTGTTTTTGAAATTCATTTGATTTTACATTGGTGGTGGCTTTTCTTTACTGATGATGGGGTGATGGCTTTTACTATGAATTGGGTGGTGATGTGGTGAATATGGTTGTGTTGTGGTCAAGAGTACTTGTGTTATGGTTGTGCTTTCGTGAGGACAACTTGTGTTGTGAGTTGTGGTGCGGTGGACGTGGGTTGTAGTGTGGTGGTTGTGGGATTATGCTATGGTGGCCTGGTTGTATTATGGTGAGGAGTGCTTGTGTTGTGGGATTATGGTGTGGTTTTTCTGGTTGTGTTCTGGTGATGAGTGTTTGTGTTGTGGTGGTTGTGGGTTGGGTGGTTGTAAACTTGTGGCTTGTGGTGTGGTGGTTGTGGGTTGTGGTATGATCGTTGTGGGTTATGGGGTTGTGTTGTGGTGGCTCTGGTTATGTTGTGGTGAGGAGTGTATGTGGTGTGGGTTGTGGTGTGTTGGTAATTGGTTGTGCTGTGATGGTTGTGGGTTATATGATTGTGTTGTGGTGGCTCTGGTTTTGTTGTGGTAAGGAGTGCATATGTTGTGGATTTGGTGTGGTGGTTGTTGGTTGTGTAGTTGTGTTGTGGTGTCTCTGGTTGTGATGTGGTGAAGTGTGCTTGTGCTTTGGGTTGTTATGGGGTGGCTGAGGGTTGTGGTGTGGTGACTATGGGTTGTGGGATTGTGTTGTGGTGGCTCTGATTGTGTTGTGATGAGGAGTGCATGTGTTGTGGTGTTTGTGGGTTGTGGGTTGTGGGGTGGAGCTGTGGTGGCTCTATTTATGTTGTGCTGAGGTGTGCTTGTGATGTGGGTTATGGTGTGGTGATTGTGGGTTGTGGTGTGGTGGTTTTGAGTTATGGGGTTGTGTTGTGGTGGCTCTAGTTGTGTTATGGTGAGGAGTGCACATGTTTTGGGTTGTAGTGTGATGGTTGTGTGTTGTGATATAGTAATTGTAGGTTGTGGGTTGGGATGTGGGTTGGTGGGGTTGTGTTGTGGTGTCTCTGGTTGTGATGTGGTGAGAAGTGCATGTGTTATGGGTTGTGGTGTGGTGGATGTGAGTTGTGGTGTGGTGGTTGTGGGATGTGGGGTTGTGTTGTGGTGAGGTGTGTTTGTGTTCTGGGTTGTGGTGTGGTGGTTATGGGTTATGGGGTTGTGTTGTGGTGGCTTTGGTTGTGTTGTGTGGAGGTGTGGGTTGTGGGGTTGTGTTGTGGTCGCTCTGGTTGTCTTATGGTGAAGAGTGCATGTGTTGTGGTGTAGTGGATGTGGGTTGTGGGGTCGTGCTGTGGTGTCTCTGGTTGTGCTATGGTGAGAAGTTCATGTGCTGAAGTGGATTTGGGTTGAAGAGTTCTTTATTTTAATATTTATGATACCCACTGTTAAGTAGGTTATATATCTTATTTTTTACATTATTTTGAAGTGAATTTTTGCTTCTGAAATTTCAAATATATAGTTATAAATGTTCTGTTGCAAACAACATTACTTATAGGATCAAAATTGTCATTTATCCAGAAACGGCTGTGATGCTGCTATTTTCAAACGATAATAAACAAACAGTCTGTCAGCTTATCCGCAACAGCTTCTGAGCAGCAGCTTTCTGGTGCAACTGTTGCTTAACCACTGTCGGCACTATTTTTTGGTGTGGGGTTTGCCCGTAAGAAGCTGTCGGTCATCGGAATTGAAATCCCGTTGTCCGCTTCGGAAGGACATTTTAAAAATTTTAATTTTGAAAAAGATGAAGTCAAAATGACCCCATAATTTTCATAGTTTAGATGAAAGAGCGTTTTACCT